AAAATTCTCACGGTCGACCGCCAAAGTTTCTGGAAATTTCCAAGTCTCGAAAGTGGCTCGCGGTCGACCGTGAGATTTTCACGGTCGACCGTCGTCACTCCAAGGGCTATTTTTGTACAGAATCTGATTTTCGATTCTGTGGGTTTTTTGGTCTTTTGTTTAGAGTTTTTGGCTAAGGTTTTGGGAGGCTATAAATACCACATTGATCTCAGTTCTCTTGGCAATCCAAAGAGTTTTTAAACAAAAGTTTAACAAGGGTTGAAGTTTGTTTAGTGTTTGTTTAAAAGAGTTTTTGTTTGGGAAATAGTTTTACACAAGTGGAGGAGATCATCTATATTGATTGAGATTCATCTTAATCCATCTCTCCATCTTGTTTTTCAGAGAAGTATTTCTAAACTCTTATCTAGCTTTACATTTGCATATTTGTTTGATTATCATTCTTTAAAGCTAGTTTTTATATTGAGTTTAGATTTTATTTCTCTTATTGTTTATACACACCCACATTGAGCTTATTGTATTTTTATACATAGTATATTTGGGTTGGTGAGTGTTGTAACAATTGAATGTGAGCTTTTATTGTGTTCTCGTCCATATTAGAGAACAATCATTTATTGTAATTGTGCTTATTGTGAGGATCACTTTGTAATACATTTGTACACCGAGAGAAGTGTGTAACGAGAGTCGGGGATCGTCCCAAGAGGAGTGGCGTCGGTTGACGAACCTAAAGAGAGGTTGTATCCGAGCACTTGAGGGAGACACGTCTAGTTCAACATTTGAGAGGGTGTAGAGTGGGATTACAATAGTGTGTTATTTGTAGAGTTTTCGGTAAACTAGAAAACCATATTATGAGGTGTAAATGTTGTTCGGGTAAACGTAGAAAACCTGGTTGTGATAGTGGAGATCTCCTCGAGGTGAGGAGCGGAGACGTAGGTTGTGGGGACCGAACTCCGTAATCATATCGTTTGTTTGTGATTGCATTGGCGCACTTATTTTTTATGTTCATATCTTATATCGCCTTTGTATATTGCTTGTTGATTATATTGCTCACTATCTAGTTTAGATTGTTTACCCTTGTGTTAATTATATATCCTTGCATATATCTCATAGTATATCTCATTGCTAGGATATATCTCTTTGTTCATATTGCTTATCCTAGCTCATATATCTTGTTGTATTTTATACCTGCTAGGATAACTTGTTAATTAGTTTTAATTGACATAAAATCAGATTAGATTAGCATAAGACCCTAATAACCCCCCTCTAAGGTCTAACAAAATGCCGGTCTACTATATGACATGTATTTATATTGGTAGGAGCACCGGTGTGTTAGAGGTGTACACTTCATTCTACAATGGTTCTCTCCACTACGGAGGCTAAGTATATGGCATTGACTAAAGCTGTGTAGGAAACTTTTTGATTGCAGGGATTATTAGAAGACTTGAGAATTGCACAGGAGACCATCAGGATGAAGTGTGATAGCATGTCAGCTATCTATTTGGCAAAGAACCAGGTATATCATGCACGCACTAAGCACATTGATATTAGATTTTACTTTGTTCGAGACGTCTTGGATGATGGAGATGTTATATTGGAGAAGATCCACACAAAGGATAATTCGGTAGATATGTTGACCAAAGTTGTCATCGGGGTAAAATTTGGTCATTGTTTGGAGTTATTGAACATTTTTCGGTGTTGAGAGCCTTTTGGAGGCCATTTGGGTGAACTACGTGAGGCTTGACTCCTTGGGCAATAGGATACGTATGCCGTCATTTTTTATGCAGCCAGTTGATGAGTTGATACCAACATGGTGGAGATTGTTCGCGTTCTTATTTTGGTTCCCGACTTATTGTGGATTGAGTCCGTTATCGTGGATTAATTCCACTTCGTATTGGACGCAACAAGTGAGATGTTTGGTTGGTATTGGTGTCGTCTCAGTTTTGAGGAAACTTCGTCAAGGTGGAGAATTATAGAAACAGCGAAAATGACAAAAAAATTCAGGAAAAAAACAAAGCAGGAGACACTTGGGTGTTGTCCGATCGATCGCGGCAATATGTGTGGTCGACCGTAAACGTGCACACTACAGGGGGTATTTTTGGATTTCTGAACCGATCAACCGCGGCATCAAGTGCGGTCGATCGCGGACCCTGTAATCGATTTTTGAGTTTCTGTCGTTCTGTCCGGTCGACCGCGGCGACAGGTGTGGTCGACCGCTACTCGAATACAGGCCTGGGTTTGGTTTCCTGATCTGTTTGGGTTTTATATTTGATATAAATAATAACAAGTTTTTTTAGGGTTTCTTTAAAGCAAAAAGAGAGACTTTTGAGCTATGTATTTGGAAGATTTGGTGAGAGATTTGAGAGCTTTGTTTGAGAGATTAATTTGTGAGTTTTGAGTAAATTTGTAATCTCTATTTGTACTCTCTCTAATAGTAAAATCTATCCCCTTCTTGCCCCGTGGACGTAGGCAACTTGCCGAACCACGTAAAATCTGTATCTTGTATTGTTGGGTTCTTGTTTTATCTATTGGTTGTAATTTGATCTTGTTTATGTTCATGCTCTTTCTGTTCCGTTGCACACAATTGGTTGGGACAAGTTGGGGATAAGTAGGATAATTGTTCCAATGGAATAATTTTATCCCTTTTGAGTTATTTTGAGTGGTGTAAAGTAGGACAATTTAGGATAATGGGACAATTTGAAGCTTTGATTTGACAATTCATGTGAAATAATTGATGATGTCACACATTATCAAAGTATAATACTTATCTATCAATTAAGTCTAAATTAATTTACCTAATTGGTTTAGCATATTATTTGGTATGTTATTATAATGTAATACATTATTTTACTATTAAACTATAATATATTATATTATATTTACTAATTAATTATACCTATATTTAATGTTATTAACTAATTTAATATAATATATTATAATAATATGATATAATATATAATAATTGATATAATATACAAACAATATATTTAATATAATATTTAATCAAATATTATAATATTTTGTTTAATTCAATATAATATTATTTAAAATATTATATTATTATTAAAAATATAATATAATATTTTATTTTATGATAATTACTATAATTTAAATAGAATAATTGATGACATGACTCCTTATTAAAATATAATATTTATAATAATCGTAATATACTATTAATATGTTCAATATTATTAAATAATATATTATATTATATTAATTATATATATATTATCATACTTTATATGTAGTAATTTATTATACTTTTTAATTGTATTAATAAAGATATTATTTAATATTATAACTATCATAATATTGGACAGCTCCCAACATATATATTTAAAACTATTAATTAATATAATAAGTAATAAAAGAAAATAGGTAAATTATTATATAATAAATTACATATATAATATAACTTAATGATATATATATTAAAGTATATAAAAACTATATTTAATAACAATATTTTTATATAATAAAAGTAACTCATTAATATTTTTAATTCTAATAATAAAATATAATATTAAATAATATAAATCAATATAATAATAAAAAAAAAAATATAATAACTAATATTATATAAATATAATAAAATAACTATTAACGTCAATATGTTAAATAATGATATATAATAATGTTATATTAGATAATATTATATAATATTTTATTATCTTTCGTTATAATAGAATTTTATAATATAATATAATTAAGTATATTATATATTAGTATAATACAATTAACATATATTAGATATTTAATAAAATAGTGCTTCAAAATTATCCCACTTTTCTCATGATTGTCCCAAAGTTAAGAATGGTGTAATTTTTGTAGGTTAGGTCAAAAAGTTTGTATAGAAGTGAGATAATTTTGGAAAAGTGGGGGTAATTGTTCCAATCTCATTGTCCCAATGAATAACACATTAAAGTGAAATCTTAATCCCAATGAATAACATCATAAAATAAAGTCTCAAAAATTATCCCACTTACCCCAAAATTACACCAACCAATAACCCCCTTAGAGTATTAGTGTGGTGGTCTGACATGACATCAAAGCATTTAGGTTCAAATCTTTTGTCACGTGTATCTAAGCCGGTTTTTGAAAAGTTGTTATCATTGCAATCCAAATTGGTAGAAAAAGGAAAGTATTGTAGGCAAATCTCAAATGGCTCAAAATTTTCTTTTGATGCAGGGAAATTGACCTTTAAGAACAATAAGTTTGTTTCTATCCACACTAGATAGAAAAGTTGTCAATTAAAGACTTTCAACAACGGCATGCATCATTCTATGTATTGAGCTCCGATCTCAGAAGGAAACAAGAGTAATTTGTTAAGAAATTGGTGCTGAGTAAAACTGCAGTCAAGATGGTCTCAAAAATCTATTAAAGTTTATTCCTCATGATAGCATCAGACAATGAAATTGGAATAATATACTAAATAATTAAAATTTCAATAAGGGGGGGTTAGTCATCTAGAACTTAAAACTGGAACTAGGATAATTTGTGGGATAAAATTTTAAGGTGTTAGTCACATAGAACTAGGAAATGGGATATTTTTTTATAGTGTTAGTCAAGTAGAACTTTTGTAGAACTAGAACTGTATTATTTTTTTGGTGCGTTAGTCAAGTAGAATTCTACTAGAATTAGAATTGGGATAATTGGTCATAATTATCCCACAAATTATACTACCTATATATATAACCATAAGTTCTCATCTCTCAAATTATCCCACACATTGGAAAGAATACAATTGGGGAAAAAAAAGTGAAACCCCACCTCCCTCCCTCTTGGTTAGTTTCTCTGCCTAGAAAATTTCTCTACCATGAAGTCAATCATCCGTTCATTTTTCTGTCTTTACTTTGTTTTTGTGATGATTAGATCTTTTATTATTATCTTCAAAATGTATTACTTTATTGATTGTTTTTTGACGTTAAATTACTTTATTATTATTTATTTGATCTAAGTTTACTCTCCACAACAGTGGTTTAGGTTAAGAAAATAGTGTTGGTGGGTTAGTGCTAAAGATATGCATGCTATTTATGTTTTTTTATAAGTTAGAAAGCAATTTTGCGATCACATTGATGATTAGATGTTGAATGGTTAATGGTGATATCTATTATTATTAAATCGGCTCAGTAAATTGATTGGGATATTTATAGTTCATCTGTCGATCATCTGTTTAGCGGCCATGGATGATTCCTGTGTACATTTCATTTATTTGCTGATTTGGTTTTAGTAATCATGATGAGATTGGTCCAAAGGGTGATGCCATGTGGGATGATATAAGTCATGTGGGATGATGGAAGTCGAGTCACTCTAGGGATTTAGATTTTTATTTATTTATAAATTATTTTATTATTTGAGATGAATAGTGATGCTTAATTGCATTATATTTTATAGTTATTACTAGAATTTGCTTATTAATATTATATTATTTTTAATATACAATTATTAACAATAGTAATTTATATCCACCATTACCCCCACCAAATTATCCTACCAAATTATGCAACTTCATAATATTATCCATCATTATCCCACCAAATTATCCTACCAAATTATCACACTTTAAGAATTACCCATCATTGTTCCACTAAATTATCCCAGTGTCAAAATATTATCCCACTTTACCAATTATCCCAGTTCTACTTAAAAAGTTCTAGGTGACTAACCCCCCCTAACTTGGTTGAAAGGAATTCAACCTGATGACGGGCAACCGACAGATCATTGGTCCCTATATATATTTGAGCAACGCAAACATTAATTAAAAGGGCCAGTGCACTAAACATATTATTGGCCCATACCATTTGAGTAATGTTAAAAGTTAATGAAAGGCCCATAACAAGAAAACAAATTTATCGGCCCATTCTTTTCATTAAAAGTCCACCAACAACCCTCTCCATTTTCAAAATCCACCCCCCTTTCTCTTCTCCCCTCCCTCGTCCCCCGTTCTCTAGGGTTTATTTACCAAATCCGAAGGTACGATTTTTTTGTGGTTTTTGCTCAAAATCTAGGGTTTCAGCTTCCAACAACCTCCAATCTTTTGCAGGTCTCTTAGATACGCGGAGCAACAATCCATGGAGCTCTCAGAGGAGAAGGTCGCCGCCATTAGCGGCGTCGACGATGAAGAGTACGAGGAGGTGGAAGAAGAAGTGGAAGAGGAAGTAGAAGAGGAGGTCATTGAAGAGGTAGAAGAAGAGGAAGAGGAGAGAGAAACCGAGAGCAAAGAGGTTGTCTTAGGTAACGTAGATAGTGCAGGTCAGGAGATGAAGCAGGGCGTTGATGGATCGTCTTCGTCTGATTCAGGGTTAGTAGAATGGAAATTAGGGTAGATTTTGTTTGGATTTGTTCAAATTTGTTGTAGATTGTAGTGTTTGTAGATTTCTAGGGTTTAGCATTTGGTTGGGTTCAGCCGATGGAAAATTAGGAGAGAGACTGAAGATAACCCTAGTTTTTTCTTGTTTGGTAGAAAAATCTTTGTTGGAGGTGTTGCTTGGGAGACTACTGAAGGTATGCAATACTGTTCCATTGTATTTTATTTGCTGCTTCTATTATAATAGCTAACTTTTGATCTCTTAATTGAGCATTATAATGTCATCGTGTTATGAGTGAAACATTTCCTAGAATATCTGCTGAAGTGATGTTATTAATTTGGATAATATGATGATAATTGGTTTACTTTCTACTGGAATTATTACTGAATACCATGTGTCTGATGCACTTCTTTTCTTAGTTGAACAGCTGAGAATTCCTTGGTTTACTGATGTGTTGATACTAAACTAAATGTGTGTCGTAACATATTCTACTAATTACCTTCCTACTTAGTACACAATTTTGGTGTATATTCTTTGATAGATTTGGATTATATATGGTAGGAGTATCTGTATATATTCCAAAGTAAGCCAACATTTCAGGAATACCCCTGTCTACTATCTTCAGAAATTCTTTTTTAACATGATAATGTTTGTTTCTAGTTGATCAACTTGCTTGTTAGCCACATAACTTCGATTACACTTCTGATCAAATTGGAATCTTGTTAATACCAATACTTAGGTAAGTGCCACTTCAAAGTTGCAAACTAAACAGAATTAGAGCTTTAAATTTTCTTTCAGAAACACCTGCTTAATATTGATGGGCTTTCCTATCTTTCAAAGTGTGTGGATGAATAAATTTGACCTGCTAGACCATTAACATATATATCTTGACTTGTCTCAATTACTTTGTAATTGTTGTTATTCTCTTATTGGAAATAAATGAAATTTTGGGAGCAAAATCTAGCATTCTTCGCAAATGCTTATTACTAGTTGTCTGTTGTATGAGAGTTTGAAATACTACCAAGCATTACATATGACTCTATATGGCCTTTGCTAAATTAAGAAAAATTTTAGAAACTAAAACCATGATAGGTTTGAAGGCTTAAAGAATTTATTTCACGTGGAGAAATATTTCTCTCTTCCTGCTTGTTCTTTTGTATTGGTAATTATAAAGGAAATTTTAGAAATTATGTAGTTGAAATGCTAGGCATTACAAACCAATGTAGTTGGCGTTTTTCACACATTGTTAGACTCAGTTAGCATCATTATTGGCAAAAATTCAAGAGATTGATGTTTGTGTCTACATATTTGAGAGGCATTAATACTCCCAGAGTATTTATAAACTAATTATGCCCACACGTGCAATGTACAATATGCAATAAAAGTTGATGATTTACTTCATTCACATTGATCCACACCATTGTTTTAAAAGCAGTATGTCTACCTGCCTAGGCCCAAGCGGTACTTAGGCCCCCGGCTTATGTTATGGGAGCTTAGGGGAGCATGGGTCACTTATTGCAACGCATCAAAAAGAGGTATAATACTCGCTTAGACATAGTAACGGATGAAGTGAAGAGCTAATTCAAAATGTATATTGAATCTTTGAAATGAAGCCTTCCTTTTGATCCTTAAAATGCCTATGTGCCGCTTAAGTGCTCGCCTCGATGCTTGGGTGCTAGGGTTGTTGTCTGGTGCCTAGCGCATTCTAATCATTAATCTACATGTAATCAAAGTTCTAAAAAAAAAAGGAATTTCTTATGATCTTCTAGTTGTGTATAAAGTGGCGGTAAAGTGATTTTTTCAGATGAGATAATGTAACTAAAAAGACCTCATAGTCTATAAACTATCTGTTATTAAAATGCATGCTTCTATAGTTCTATGCTTGTAAAACTATTACAAGATCACAAATGTGAAAAGAGTGCATCTTTTAATTTTATGAAGGAAATTTTGACAAAACCCCTCTCCAATACTCCAACTTTGGGCCGTGTTCAAATAATCCCCTGAACGCTATAAATTCCACAGAACTCCTAGAATTGTCTCACTTTGCTTCCATGACTGATAACATTAAGTTTAACATATCATATGCTCCTCATGTGTCCAAAAAATCGATAATTTTGTCCCTAGTCATAAAATTAATTTTCTTTAATCCCTCATTTTTTTGTAAATTGTATTTTTAGGGGTGCACAAAAATTCCATATTCACAAGTATATCCGTATCCATATCTATATCTATTAGGATACATATATGCTCACTAAAATATCTAACTGATAAGATATGGTTACAGATACGATTATGTAGTGAAATTTTGGACCTATATCCAAAATATTTGAATATATGTTGATCATACAGTTGCAATTGTTTTAAACCTTAGATTAATAGATTTGAGACTAATTTTGATGATCAAGAGAACCAAGCTTTGCTTTTTATATATAAGGAACTTATTAATAAACTCTTTTTTATCATATTAACTATATTTTTTTCGATATTATTTGGTTTTTTCATATCCATTTAGTATCTGCATGCATAGTTACATGGTTCACGGTATGTAGTTGGTTCTGGTACGAAATCGAGTAAGCAATTCACCACTTTTAAAATTTGGATTTGAGGGGGTATCCTGCTTCGGTATGAAAGTTTGATACGTAATACATTGTAATTTTTTTTGGGTATATTTACCATTTTTCAAAATGTAGAGTAGAAATTTAGAAACTAGAAAGCTAATTATGCATTTCAATATTTAGTTATAGTAAAGTCATTAACTCATATATTTTATTGTTAATTTATTGTCTTGTCTCAGTCTTTATTTCAGTTAAAACGACAGTGATCTAGGGTTAATTACTAACTTTGGATAGCTTACACATACTAAAGCGTACTGCAATAGTTTCATTGAAACATATAAAAACATCCTTGTGCATGTGCACGCAAAGAGACTTTGCTTCCCGACTTCCAGCATACTTGAAAGCGCTACGTCAATTTTAGAGAATCGATTTGTGTATTGGAGGAGATCGGGTTGCAAATGTATCGAGAATCAGTTCTCAAGAACTGTACGACGGTTTAAAGGGGGTCCAGAGAATTACGTAAGTATGTCTGCGTGCATATTCGCATGTATATCCGTATTGGTATTCGATATTAGCAGATATTGATATGAGTATTCCTTAATGAGACATATCAGTTTCCGTGAATGACAAGCAGATATGGATATTGTGAGCATCATATCCGAGCCGTATCAGGACCATATGCACCCCTAGTATTTTAGACATTTGATCTACTCCTTTAACCCCGGTCGTGACACATTCTCAAAGTTTGGGAGGTTTTGTGGAACTCCCCAAAGTTTAGAGGGTTTTTGGAATTAAAAAAAAGTAGAGTATTATAGCCTTCTTATAAATAGGGCTGAGATGACAGTTCATTTTACTAAATGAACCATTGAGAACAAGAATAGTGGTGAAACCCTGTGGTGAAGCCCATTTTGTTTTTCACATCGGAGTTGGTGGACCTCATCCGTTTTTTTTTAGCTAATAATTTTGCTCCTTCCTAGGAGATGAACTTGTCAACTTCGAAGTATTAATACAAACATTGCAGCCTATCTTCCTATCTTTACAATAGCACATTCAATAGAGGAAAAATCTTAAGAGTTCCTCTTGAAAAAGAGAGACTTCTTAAGTTCACTAAAATTCTATAAGACTTGCCCAAAGGAAGAAAGATATCAAACTTGCACTACTAGGCCTTGCTCCCTCTTCAATCATCCCTTCTCAACTTTTTGAACTTGGAAAGCACTAAGGGTGACAACACATTTTTTAATGTTCATGTGCAAACACCGTTAGGAGATTCCATAATGGATGCGTAGTACTTCTACTTTCATTTTTTATGTCTTCATGAAAATAGTGCATGTGGTCCTTCATTTTGTAAGTTGCTCTACATGTAAATATAGTTTACTTTCATCTATGAATAACATTGTCTGGTTTCTTTTGTTAAATCTTTATCTTGTGTAAGTTAGTTGTGCATTTACTTGTAATTGTTTGCTTACGTGTTTTTTTTCCCCTGTGAAATGCATGTAATGTGAAGAGAAAGTTTAATATGTGCGTGTGTAGATAGAGAGATAATTAGTAGACTTAGGTCAAATGATCATGCCCTCTGTAGGTCGTTAAGGGGGCTAAAATAGTAAGTAGCATGCTTAAGAACGTTGTACAGCAGTCTGACACTTCATATATCCTTCCTGGGTCCACTGAGTCTCTATATACAGAATATCCAAGTACTCACATTTATCTATATTATATTCAACATTGTAATAAACTTGATTTAGCACAATGAGGGTGCGTTTGACAACTCCAAAGAACTAGTTTAATGGATACAAGCATGGTCCAAAAACTAGTTTTTATTTTGGAAAAACTTGGACCAATTTGCTAGTCCTTTTTAGTTCAAATTTTAGCTTTTAAACTAGTTTTGTTTTTTACCAACCCCTATATGAACAACTGTAACCTAGTTACGTAAAGCCTAGTCCTAGTCCAATATTGTTTTGGAATGCCAAACATAGCCTGAGCCTCTGCACCTTCAAGTGATATAGCCTGCCTGGGTCAAATGAGTCTGCACCTCCTAGTGCCTTGGTAGCTACCTGGGCTGCTTAAAATAACATATTAATCCAAATGTACGGAATATCCAACTGCTCACATGTACCAATATTATATTCAACATTGTACAGAATATCCACTGAGTCTCTGCACCTCCTAGAGCCTTGGTAGCTGCCTGGAGTGCTTAAAATGACATATTAATCCAAATGTACAGAATATCCAATGGTTCACATGTGTCTACATTATATTCAACATTGTAATATATCCTGATTTAGCACATGTCATGCTCATGATGTTTTATGTGTTTTTCATTCTAATGTAGGAAGAGTTCAAAGTTAAAGGTTAATTTAATCCACTTTTTGTTTCAGTACATTAATATGTTGCCGATACCAGTATTTTATCCAAATTCAGATTTGTTACTACAAAATTTAGACATTGAGTTTGATTTTCAATAAAATTTCTATTTGTAGTATTTGTTATGAAAATGAGACAACTGCAAATGTGACAATACCTAGATCAGCTCCTTGTCCACTCTATTTGCACCTCTTATTTTTATAGCATGGAGGGGTATACTCAGTCATTGTACCTTTAGCTAGTTTCATACTTGTTTTTGTGTTACTATACCATTTTATATTTAGCGAGGTTGAGTGCAAATCTGCATGCACTTGCAGTAAGCTGTGAAGCAAGGGCGTTCCAGAGTTTTTTTTAATTAGCTGGATTAATATTTGGAGTCTAGTTATTTAGATTAAGATGGAAGTTTCATCTACGTTGCATATGTAACAAGATCAGTTTCTGGCATCACCTGGGGCCCCAAGTGAAGAATGGATGGTGTTGTAGCAAGCTTGGTCGTCGTAGAGAATAGTATATTTTAACTAGTTTATGAAGATCTGAATTAATGCCTCCCACTAGATATGGAGAGAATGGTACATCTTTTGCCAATTTTTTGGGAATGCAAAAGATATACTAATACCAAGTTTCTGTTATTTTAGATTTCTTGCGACATCATGAGGCTTGATGGGGCATTGTAACAAAAATTATTAGAAGAAATGAACGTCAGATTCTTAGTCTTGAAAGTCTAACCATCTTGCCTTAACTGTATAATCACCTCACAGTGTTGATTTAATTTTGAATGGTGGTTTTCTGCTGTTTCAGTTGATGATGAAGGGGTTACAGCAAACTTAAGGCCTTTGAATATTACAGAAAGTTGCTACAAGTGAAGTAAATTTAATGGATCCTTGTCATGGTATTTCGAATAGTAAGTGTTGTCTGGTCTTTTGGTATATCCTCTTCAGAATAAACATGAACCCACCCTAGTCCCTCCAATAAGTGAAAGTAAAGGAACAGTGCCAATTTAATGGTTCCTTGTCATGGTATTTTGATCAGTAAGTGTTGTCTGGTCTTTTGGTATATCCTCTTCCGAATATATATGAGGCAGCACACAGAAATTATTTTGTTCTATATTGCTGCGTTCTTTGTAGAAAAGTGTTTCTTTTTGACTGTCAAAAGTGTTACTTAAAGATGTACATTCAAGCTTTCTTAAAATGTATGAACCAGTTGTACATAGTGATTTTAAAGGTAGGCTCATACACCGTATATTTTGGACTATCCTGGTGTTGTTAATTGCAAGCTTCTGTTCATCCTTATGGTTTCAAGAGGACTGAGGATTTGTTTGGTTAGTTAATGACAGTTGCAAATTCGAGAGGCAACTATAAGTTACAATTGCAACTGTTTGTTTTGTGGCAACTGCGGTTGCAAAAATAAGACACTTCCTCTGAAACTGTCCTGCAACCAACTTGGCCATAATGTTTTTACAAAAAATGGCTTCACTTCCTCCGAAACTGTCCTGCAACCAACTTGGCCATAATGTTTTTTACTTTTTACAAAAAATGGCTTCTTTTAGCAATTATAATTTCAAAAGACTACGTTATATTACTGGCTGGTGTGGGGGTGTGATTGATGGTTATGGTGTTTCTGAATGTAAGGTGGTCTATATGACCCCCATCCTCTTAATAGATAGTCATATTATTTTACGGCAATTGCAGTTCCAAAAAGAAGACACTTGTTCTAATACTGTCCTGCAACCAATTTCCCCATAATTTTTTTGACAAAAACTGGCTCCCTTTTGCAATTATAATTGCAAAAGACTACATTATATTACTGGCTGTGGTGGGGGTGTGATTGATGATTATGGTGTTCTTGAATGTATGGTGGCCTCTACCATGCTATCCTTTTCAAAGATAGTCATCCTCTAAATTTACTTCGACTAGTTTGGGGTATTCTGTAAACTTGTGGCCTTGTCCAACCCCACATGCCTTTTTAACTCTCCTTAACTTCCTTGCTGATTATTTATTGTGCCTATATTATCATATGCTGCCTCAACCTTGCTTGTTCAACATCAAGACCCTTTCTGTTGATGAATAGGTAATAAGAGTTGCTGCATATGCAGAGACGATAAGAATGAGTTCTAGTGAATGGGAAGTGCATCAGAATTGGGTGGAAGCTGTAATAGCCACTATCATTTTCTGAAGAGACTTGAGTTTACATCTGTTAACATATGCTTATTCCTTGTAGCTACTTGTCTGGCCACTTTTCTCAGGATCATCATATCATTCTAAACTGTAAATTTCCTGCATATACACAGATGATAAGAATGAGTACTAGTGAATGGGAAGTGCATCAGAATTGGGGGGAAGCTATAGATAGTAGCCAGTACCAGTTCCTGAAGAGACTTGAGTTTTCATCTGTTTGTATTTGCTTATTCCTTGTAGCTACTTGTCTGGTCAGTTTTTGCAGGATCATTTTGTCATTGTAAACTGTAATTTTCCACAATGGTTCTAACAACACTTTTGCGTACTCTTAATTCTGTGGCCTGTATATATACAATGTTAGATATTGCACGTTTGATTGTTTAAAACTTTAATATTTGAGAAGACATTTATTCATATTTAGCCTGTAGTATAGATTATTTTCTGTTCTCATTTTATTTTATTTTTTCCTCTTTTACTACTACTCATAGCATGCTTGTGTCTTTGTTTTGTGTCACTGAATGTCCTTATCTATCAGTTAGAAGGATGACATTGCATATTTAGAAGATATAGTTTGAAATAAATTATAATTAAATATTGGTTTATTACGTATGGCATGTGTGTTTTAACACCTATATACTGCCTATTTTCCTGATTGTTGAGTATTGTTTCAGAGACTTTTGCCCAATACTTTGCAAAGTATGGAGAGATTACCGACTCTGTGATAATGAAGGATAAGCACACCCAGAAGCCTCATGGATTTGGATTTGTAACCTTTGCTGATCCATCTGTGATCGACAAGGTCTTGGAAGATGAGCATGTCATAGATGGGAGAATGGTAGGGATTATTTTCTGACACGTTTAAGAATATTATGTGATAATTGAATATATAATGGGAACGCTTGGCTAATTTCTGTACTCAGGTAGAAGTGAAGAGGACAGTTCCCAGAGAAGATATGTCTTCATCCAGAGGAGGGCCTAAGACAAAGAAAATCTTTGTGGGTGGTATACCTCCATCATTCACTGAAGGTAATAACTAAATTTTATTTTGTATCATCTAACCATAGTCCAGCTAATGTATCATGGAAACTTTCAGATGAACTAAAGGAGCATTTTAGCTCATATGGAAAAGTTGTTGAGCGTCAAATAATGCTTGACCACAGCACTGGACGATCACGAGGATTTGGCTTTGTCACATTTGAAAGTGAGGAGGCAGTTGAAAAGATAATATCAGAGGGTAAAATGCACGATCTTGGAGGAAAGCAGGTAAGCTTATTCGTTCACATTTCACCATTATATTTAAACATAGTTGGATCTTGGTGCTTTGGTTCCCATTTTCTTGATGAAAACGACCTTCAATTGTAATCAGCTAGCATGGTTCAGCTCTTGTTTTATTAGTAATTTATTACTGCAAATTAAATCAGAAGCTGGACAATAACAGTTATTGTAAGCGTTTGTTTCTTAGGTTCTCTTGAGTGGGGAACTTAAACTGAGTCGGCCTTTCCACAAGTAAAAGAACATTGAAGGGCTTGTGAATATAAGCGCCCATTTCTTAGGTTTCTGTGATTTTGGGACTTCAGTTAGTTTTGTTCCAAGTCTTTTTGAAAAGTGGAGTAGGAGTAAGGATATTTATTTCTGCTAATGCTTAAAATAACAGCCCTCTTATGCCTTAATTTGATCATAAGCAAGGGCAGATTCAGATGATGTCGAGGGGTGCAACTGCACCCCTAGAAATTTACAAATTGCATATCAGTTCAATTAATATTTATAATTTGCCCCCCTATAGAATTTTCAAATTGCACCCCAACTCAATTACCCAACCTATTTACCAGGGGAGGTTTATCCACATTTAACCCTATAGTTTGTTCATTCACAATAGAGCTACAGAAAAGCATATATAATGCATATATTGACTGCTTGAAATCTCTTGATGAGTGCCTTGACCTAAAGTTTTGCCTATTCCGTTACGACCCAATCGAAAAGACCAAGTCTCCTTGACAATGATCGCTCTTTTATACACTACATGATGCAGGTTGAGATCAAGAAAGCCGAACCCAAGAAACCCGGTTTCGATTCAGTACCCAATGGTAGAGCTGCCTACAGTGCTGGCAGCGCGAACACATATGGATATGGGGCCGATGCTTATGGGTATGGTGGTGGTTATCGATCAAGCAGCTTCTACTACGGTGGAAGAAGTGATGGAGTTTATGGCCGAGGCTACGGCTATGGTGGCGCCCTCAGCTATGGTTCTGGATTTGGGCCTAGTTTTGGTGGGCCTATGTATGGGGCCGGTGGATATGGTGCTGGTACTGGTTATGGTGGCTATGGAGGTGGTTACGGTGGTGGTTATGGTGGAGGTCGGGGATATGGTAGATATCATCCGTATGGAAGATAGAGATTTTAACTTTTAGTATTTAACGGCATTAAAGAGTATCATATGCTTGAGAATGTTTTAGGAGTTTAATGGTATTGGCTTTTTAGCCTGAGTTGTTAAGTTTTGCTTTCAAAATACAGTTCTGTTTTGTTGGTTTAATTTTAACAGGGAGAAAAGGGCGATGGTTTATACTGGTAACAGCCAATCTTATAAGCCTTACCTTTGACGATGTGACTTATATTTTTGGTGTCATAATTCTGTATTTCTATATGGAACTCTGCTCATTTCTGCTGGTCTGTGGTCATGCAGATTTGAACTATAATTCACGTTCATTATTTTGACTTCTTTTAGAAGTGTCATTTCTCTCAGGGAACCTGACCATTTCTTATCTCTGGTAGCGTGTAAAAGATATCCAACAAATGACTCTTTTCTTGCCTTTATGTATCATGAGAACCAGTTTTGTCATTTAGCCTTGACCTGCTAACTTTCCTGCATGCTAGAACTCTGTTGTATGTTACTGCTTTTGATTAGCGCCTCGTCATCCATTACAGCTTACTGTTTACAGGATGAGATGCAAGATGGTTACACGCTATGCAGAGTATTGACGTGTCTGATATGCGATGTATGTTTTTATTTCATTCGCACGAAGATGTAATCTGTTACTGTGTGAGTTGCCCGAAGTGTAGGTTATTTGCTTTGTGTATCGTAATATTTCGTCTTACACGGTGATTCAATCTAATGATACAAATTATACTACTACTAAATAGTTGTTGCTGGAAGGGGGCAAAAAAAAAAAAAAAAGACGCAAGCCTGATGCAGATGACTAATGTTTAGATCAGAGTACATTAATACATTAAGTTACACCTTTCAAAATTTAAAGCATCAACTGAGAAAAAACTAGAGGTTCTGTTGACTAGTGCTCCTGACATACTCGTTAGTGAGAAGAGATGCCACAACTATGAGGGAAAAACTAGAGGTTCTGCTGACTAGTGCTCCCAACATAGTTGTTAGTTAGAAGAGATGGCAGCTTGACTTAAACGACTAACGTCTGCATTAGAATATAGTAATACCTTAAGTTACACCTTTCAAAATTTGGAGCATCAACTATGAGAGGAAACTTAGGAGTTCTGTTAACTAGTGATTCTGGCGCACTCTAGTCAGATAAGAGAGAAAGAGGCGAGAGAGCCCCCCACAAACCACCACCACAAAACAAAAGGAAACCACCCCAAAACAAAGTAATTGTTAACAAAACCCATAAAAGTGTTGTTCGCAATATACCTATCTGAACAATAATTTGGATCCCACATCAGAGAAGATCTGCTATTTGATGAAATATGAAAACATAATGAAGTACATCAGAGAAGATTTTTCATAATGAAGTACATAAGAGAAGATCCGCTATTCGATGAAATACGAAAACATAATGAAGTAGTGAGAACAACTTCCTTCAGTTGAGAATCCCTGTAGTCTGCTTAAATACTACAACAAAACTAACAGTTGGGAGGGGATACATAATCAAGCGAAGGTACAAAAGGGTCATACTTCCTAGTGCAAAGAACTGAGTTCCAAAGGCAAAAACAGACTATACTGTGGAGTACAAATGAAATTTTATATTATTAGGTAACCGGGAACTCTAACCTTCTACAAACTATAAATTTACAGGAACAATAGACGAAAAAACTGAGTTACAAAAATCTACAAATTACAAAAGAATACCATCTTTATTTCGATTTCATTCTTACATGAAAGATGTCTGCTCCCCAAGCCTCGGCAACCTTGATCCGGATAATAGAATACATTCATCAATTGGGTTAAAACTTGCAAAATGAACTTCAATGCCCAGATATCTTCAAACGTGCGGACAAAATCGAGCTGATGCCTTTCCAGCTGCTTTCCGACCAAAAAATTTCAGCTTTAGTGTTGATGAACGAGCAATTCATGACCAAACTCCTTTCGAGCTAATTCTCTGAGAGAACATCTCCAAGTTTTTCATTTCTATGCCCATTGCTCTCCACGCTCCAAATCTAACCTTGACCTATGAACCATCATCCCTCTCTTCATCATGCTCCCTGATGAAAACCCTCTCTCTCTCTCCCACAACTCCTCGCTTCTTCCCATCTTCAATGGTCCAGAGCTAAAATATCTCCGAAAAGAGCCTGATGTATCTTTACCAAACCCTGACGGCGCAAAATATATATTAGATTCTGAGAACACTCTCTCATCTTCAAACCCCGACCCTGCACTAATTCTAATATCAGAGTCCTTAGTCGAAGAATCATCCAAACTAAATGATCTTCTATGCTCTCCACTCTCATTACACACAAGTCTTAGTGCTTGCACCACTTCACCCATAAATGGGCGATGAGAGACTTCGGGTTGCACGCACATTGATGCAATGGCAGTGACTTTTGCTATGGTCTCCACTGAAGTGCTTGAACTTAGAGATGGATCGATCATTTTTTCTAGACCGTCGGTATTGTCGCTCTCTAGAAGAGGGCGGGCCCAATTGACGAGGTTTTCTTGACCAGGAGGTTGTGACATGTCTATTGGCTTGCGACCGGTGAGGAGCTCGAGAAGGACGACTCCGTAGCTGTAAACATCGCTCTTGACAAGAAGGTGTCCCGTCATTGCATACTCGGGGGCAACATAACTATATAGAGGGGAAAGGAATTACATTTAGGCAAAAATTGATTTGTAACTTTTTTATTGTTAAGGTTTTTGTTATATTAGACCACTGAATCGTTGTTCATTCTATATTAGACGCCCAAATTTTCATATTTCTAAATTAGAATCCTAAATCCATGAAGTTGTTTTAAGAGCCACAAATCTATTAAGTTGTTTCAAATAAGGCCCCAATTTTGAACAGCTTTGAAGATTTGGTGGTCTAATTTAGAAAAAAAAATGAAGATTTGAGGCTCCAATGTAGAGTTATCAACGATTTGGCCGTCTAATACGATAAAAACCCTTATTGTTATAAAGAGTTACTTGCTCATTTTGGAAAGCATTAGTTGTAGAAAATCTAATTTCAAGATTAGTTGTAGAAAATCTAATTTCAAGTTTACATCGCTTGAACTGTCAAAAAAAATTCTATTGTTTTCTCAGGTTTTTTATGATGCGAGCACAAAATGGATGACCTAAATAATGAGTTTCAGTGGCCACAATTAAGTGAAACCTAATAAACATTGATGCCAATTGATACGTGAGGTTTCTAGTTTCTGTATCATGATGAAATAGTTGGATTTAGACTGTATGTCCAAAATCATAAAATTTAGCAATATGCTACTTTTGGCGATATTTGTTGTGACTACTAGATGCATACACACCCAAACAAGAAAAATAAATTTTTTTAGACATTCCAATGTTGATAGCTAGATATTTCATTTAGTGGTCTAACATTGAATTTGAGCGGGAAGGATTTGGCTCCAGATCCTTCTAGAAGTAGCCATGCCTATATCTGGTATAAATCCTTCATCATGATAGTGAAAATGGGACAATAGGACTTTATTCATATAACATAGTCATGTAGAGTACCATCCCATGCAGTTGAAGGGACAATCGTAAAAGGCGTTAATATGATCAGTTAAGCTTTAAAGGTCAGAATGTGACATTAAGAAACAATACTATATCCAAAAATTATTGCGTCCAAAATAAGAAGTGAGTGCTTTAATAATTCATAAGTTGTTAAATGGAGCTTCAACTGAGTATAGGATGAGGGATAATCATTTGAGATGGAAACATAAGTTAAGTGACAGGCTAGGTCATAATATGAAAATGGTCTACTAGGCCTAGAATAAATGAATGTACCTTGTTGAATGAATAAGAGTGTCTTAACTGTTGATTTGATCAAGCAGATAGTTCTGAAAGATTATGAATCGAGAAAAAGGATTCTATGTGGTCAACCTCCAAAAATTTATGATAGAAGGCATTCATGTTGCTGTTGTTGTTTGTTAAGAAAAAAAGATAAGAACAATGTTTAAGACGTTCATACCCAAAAGTCCCCATAACACGAGTGGAGATATGGTCATTTCCCTCACCCAGAGCTGTTCTTGCCAATCCAAAATCAGACACTTTTGGTGTAAAATCATGCTCTAGCAAGATATTACTAGACTTGAAATCTCGATGTATGACACGAGGGCTCGAGTCTTCATGAAGATAGGCTAGACCACGAGCTGCACCAAGTGCAATCTTCATTCGTGCATTCCAATCAAGTGGAGAAGTTTCCTTGTCCAATCCTAAGCAAGTTAAAAGAAAAAAGTTCAGAACCATATGTGGGCGTTCTGCTTCTGATTGTGTTTTCCCTATTACTGAAACATTTGCAACCATTATTTGGAAACAAAATAAATGTGTTACACCATAAAATATTTTATGTGACACTTAAGCAGTCATGTGTCCCCACGGTGACTGGCACATGATTGGAAAAATGAAGTCAGCAGTTTCCCCTCTCTCCCTCAAAGAGAGCATGGAATCAAAGCCCTAATAAATATCTTGGCTAATGTTAGCCCCACAAACCGCACACCATTCTTTAGAAAGCCCCCCAAACGGAGACCGTTAGCCAGGTTGAGAATATTTTCCCGCATGTGTCTGCCATCCGCTGCCTCACCTTTTCCAGGAATAAAGGACATCGGTCAAAGAATAACCACCTTAATATAGCTAGTCCGAAGAAGACATGCGTTCTCTCTCTTCCATCTAAACCATATGAACTTCTATAAAGGAAATTAACAGCAGTAACTTTTCTAACCTAATTTTTCTAGGATTTCTGATGCTTTACTATTTTCATTTGCTTCATGAGAGAGATTCTCATTTAATCATTGGAGGGCGGTCCCAGGGCTCACCCCTCCAGGGCCTTCTGACGAGCTGTTACCTTGCACAGGTTAGGGGAAGATGGAGGATTCTGACAAATAGCGGATTCAAACTTCCAGTTTCCCATTACTCTTTAATTGAGGAGTAATTCGATAAACTCTACTGTTTACTGAAACAAAATGCCATGATGCAAGTCTAGTGTTCTATGATTATAGGAGCGAGCTATATCACTTACTGTGTTGGATAATGGAGCGGATTGAAGAATGTCATAATATATTCCAAACGATCTTTAAATATTCTACCATGGGGACAGAAGTAAAGTCTTCATATTCTTTTTCCTATTGAGAGCTCAAATATTTAACATATGACCCATTAGATATTTCATATGAAACCATTAAACAGATACATATGAGAAATCGGTCAAAGAGAGAATAGGTTCTTGTGTTCAAATGAGGAAAATCTTGTTGACTATGTTTTCTTCGTGAAGAAGTTCTAGCAGCATCTTATGCCTTATCAAAGTCATGAGGATTGTTGAATCATAGAAGATCCAATCAGATACCAAACTGAGTTAATATCCTGATTACAGAGAACTGGACTAGGATTAACACATGAACCCTATAATCCATACCTACGGTTTAACAGGTTACTTTCATGTCAATGTTGTAAGCAGGTATCCTCTGAAAATACAAACTGAATGGCTACTGAAAGAGGACGAATTACACAATTTAAAGCAATATAGACATGATATACGAGCTTAAATTCAGTTCAGCCCCTAACGTTTACCTAACATTTCTAAGAAGACTCTAACCTAATATTATAACCCATTAAGCCTTTATATTTATTATTTTCAGTTTATTGAGTGCCCATGGGATTTTCTACCAGATATATTCCCACTTTACCCTTAACAGAATAGTGCTTTTGACTACGTTTAGGGTGGAAAACCAGCATAGGGCTCAATAGAATGGAAATAAGAACTATAAGGGCTTATTGAGATGAAACATTAGGTTAAGGGCTTCTTAGAAATGTCAGGTAAACATTAGAATCTAATCTAACTTTAAGCTCCATAATATACAGATGTTATGTGGGGCTGAATATCTAAGAATAAAGATTTAATTTCTCACCATGAAGATGGGATTCCACACTACCATTTGGGATGAGTTCATAAACAAGGCATCGGGCACTCTCTTCCGTGCAAAAACCTATCAACTTAACCAAGTTCCGGTGATGCAAGCGGCTAAGCATCTCTACCTCTGCCAGGAATTCACGTCCGCCCTGCTGATCGTCTCTCTTGAGGACCTTCACGGCCACCATGGTCCCATCTTCAAGAGTTCCCTGGTAAACTCGGCCAAAACCGCCTTCGCCAATAATTCTTGAATCATTGAATCTATCTGTCGCTCTTTCTACTTCAGCTAGATTGAAGGTTTTGGCTGATCCAGTGTGAGCTGGAATGCTCGAGGTGAAGGAAGCTGATGTAGAACTGGGCCCACTTCCAGGGTTCGGTGGTCCAGCCCCTGTAATTCATTATTTTTAACAAGAAGTAGAAAAGAGACTACTGAATTGAATGAGTACCATTACTACTATCATCAATAGTACTCATGAGTTATGACCTTATTTGGATATGTGCAACATAGACCAACAAATGCAAGAAATGAAAAGTATACTGTAAGTAGGGTAGATCGATATGAACATGATGATAAAAAATATGGTAGTCAGTATATAATCGAATTCGTGACATTAAATATTTGATGAAGAAATATAATTAATATAAATTTTTATTATTAAATAATGAAAAGTTCAGAATCCCAGTGCTATTAACAGTAAGTCATGTATATGTCTACGTGTCATTCAAAAACACCACAATTTTTTGCTCAGATATTTAGAACTACTATGCCAATAATTTCCATAGATACTCTAGAAAAAGAAATGCTAGAAGTCAACAAGGATTATAAACTATATTTACTATAGACCATGCTGTGCTATCTGTTCGAAAATTTGAATTAGGTTAATGGTTCTTTCACTGATATGTCAATACAAAACAATGCATAAGAAGTATTAGAAAGAAAGCGAGCGAGACACTAGCAACAATCAAAGTGATATAAAGAAGGTCACCTTCCTGGTGAATTTCACAGTTTTGAGGAAAGAATGAATTGCCAACAAGATGCATCAAGATTCAAGAAACAGTAGATGAGATGGTTTTATGAATGACTTAACGGGATTAGTGGTTCAGTGGATCAGAAATTTTATGCAGCCCCTTGCCTTAGCATGGACCTAAGGTTCATGATATTTGTAACATAGCTTTTCAATACTTCTGATGATATACACTTAACAGAGAGTTATGTAATCTACCTGCAGCCTTAGCAGATGGAGAGACTTCTTGTTGAGATGTTGGTGGAGGTTGATTAGAACGGTTTTTACATCTTAATATCAGAATCCATGCCGCTCCAATAGTAATAACTACTACAACAACAGATACTAGCACTATAATAACTACTAAGCTGTTGCTGAGTTTTTGTTTTCTCTTTTTCACATTGACACCAAGAGGTTTCATTGTCATTGCATTTCCGCCATTAGGCCCACCATCAATACTAACATCTCCAGGTGTTGGTGGGGATGGAGGAAGGCCTGCATAAATCAGAAAATTCAAGAATATTAACTCAAAGTTATATCAATCGTAAGAAGTTATAATCAAAGGCAACTTATCGACTGCCTTAATTGGCTTTTGTTATTGGTATTTTGTTCTTCATATACTGCATCAAAGCAAGTTCGTAACCTCAATATATGGACCTATTTATGGGTCTGTACTGAGAACCTATTATGGACCAAATAGTGAACGAAACATTTCTGAAACATTTCTGAATTATTCAAATAGGTCCATAATAGTTGCTGTTGCTGAAATCTTTGAAATTGCTCATAAACCCCTCATATCCTAAGGGGTCTTGCAATGTGGTCCCTCAATGACCAAAATACCCCTCGGTTTATATTTCGTCCAAAACCCCTCTGATTAAAAAAAAGCATTAGCTTAGGGGTGTTTTGCTCATTGACGGACCTAATTGCAAGACCCCTTAGGATTTGAGGGACTTATGAGCAGTTTCAAAGATTTGAGGGACTAACATGGAATTGTTGATGATTTGGGGACTAATATCTAGGTAACCCTATCCAAATAAAGTATGGCAAATTTAATGAATTGTTCTTAAATAAATGATATTCTTACCTGGGTAGAGAACATATAATACATCATAATCCCCAAAATACGAGGATTCTATGATGACCTGCTTATGCCAAAACCTGCTATAAATTTTTAATGCTGTATTGAAGTCAAACGTGCTACCAAGAGGCACCAGATCAATGAGGACAATAGTCTTCCCAGGATCCTCGCTAGAAGAATTTGCTCCCATGACCCGAACCTGACTCTGTTTCATGAAAATTCCTGGTGCGATTTCTTGGGCAAGCTCAGAGACCAAAGGGAAGAATGTATACAGTGCTATGCTTAATCGGAGGCCAACTTTAATCGGCCTGACACATGCACATAAGGATCCAGGAGGAGGATATGTAACTGGTTCTTGGCATGATAACAGCTTACAATCTGCATGAAAAACAAATTAAATGCCAACACATAATCAAATTGGACAAGATCCATAAGCTGCAACCATAGTAAAGATGGAAAATTTTACACTGTTCGCAATGCAGATAGATATCGGGGATAAATCTTGGGGTAAATTTCACAAAACCATCTGAACTTTGGGTCACTTTGCATAAATCTTCTTAAACTTAATATATCAGATAAAACCCTCTGAAATTTGAAGATTATACAAAACCCCCTTGAACTACTGGAAATTGTCATAGATGGCTTAATGTGAAGGGTAAAATGACTCTCAGTAGAAGTAAAATGTATTAGGGCAAAAATTGTTCAAAACATGTCAAAGCACATAAAAAATTTAAACTAACTGTTGTTGGTCATGGTATTTTAGTGAAACGAGTTCAAAACGGGTTTCTCCAGTTTATACATTTTAGGAGGGTTTTGTGCAAAACCTACAGTTGGGTTTTGTGCAAAACCTACAGTTGGGTTTTGTGAAATTTACCCTAAATCTTATGATACCCAAATCAGAATGACACAGGATTGTTATAAGTATATACCTAAATTAGGTGGTGGGGGTGGTAATGCCCACACAACTTGTGGTGGCGGTGCCCTTGACTTCCTGGAGGACCGAGGAGGAAGAATGGGAGGAAGAGTAGGAGGATGAGTAGGCCCTGTAAACAAGCATGATGATTAACAAAATTTTATAGCAAAAACAGAATTGTACACATAAAAGTGAAAATAACTAACATGAAGATTTACGTTTGTTATGTGGTGAATGAACCACGGATGCGGGTGAAGGAGCATGTGGTACTTTTGTATTCTTGGAAGGAAGAGGAGCTTCAGCCGGAGAAAGTGAAGGGACTGCAA